TAGTATTACTTAGTTTATTATCATTATTATAAATATCCTTTTTTATTAATATACATGTTCTTAGCTATACAAGTTTGAATTTTATTGTAATATTATAAGATGTAAAGCGCTGTTGATCAGTAAATGTAAATAGTGCTCTAGAAGTTATTAAATTATTATTATCATTATTAATACTAAGTCACAGTAATACTGAACAAGGGAATCTGCTTGTCTATTTTGTGTTCAGTGGTTCCAGAACAAAAATAAGCAAGGTATAGCAGCTTACAACTTTAAATACTACTCATTTGGAATATTATTTTTAGGGGTAGTCCATTTTAGGGTAGTCCATTTGGGTAGTCCATGGACTGGGGGTCAGTGCTTTGTCCATCACCACTACTGAGGCTTGGTCTTAGCCAAGGTTCTGGCTTCCCAGAACAGAAAATACGGTTTTGCTAGGTTTTATTTCAGTGGAAATGTAATTGACAATTAAAGTTATAAATGCGTCTACAAAGGGGGACATTGTAGTCCTCTATATTCCTAATTTACTAGTTAAGGGCTTGTTCATTTAAACACATCGCCAAATGTATAACTGGAGACTTCATTAATCAAAGTAATCAGTGAAAATTCTATTTTGTGGTCCATGCTGAATCAGGACAACAACGTCTAATATGCCAATTTCAAAACTAAAATTCCTAAAAGTTATGATACAGTAATCCTTAATGTTTACCTTCGAACAACGGAAGTTCCAAAAATAGTTGCTTTATGAAATTGTTTCTCCTATTATGCATGGGGGCCGTTGATAAAACCAGGAACATGGAACATTCCAGAACATCAAAATATCATAACAATTACGAGAAAAATATAAAAATTTAATAAGGGAATAGCCAAAAATGAGAAATAAGTAAACAGAGGCGGATTTAGGGGAGGCCCTCCCCCCACTTATTTTGGGTGAAAAAGAAGAAATCACTGAATAAAGAAAAGCCAGTAAGGCAATCAAAACAGAAACGGGCGCCAGTCCCCAAGGTCTGGATCTGCCGCTGGTAAAGTAACAAAACAAATTGGTATCATTTTGGCTCTGAATATGCCAAAAAAAAAAAAAAAAAACGTAAAGAAAAGTGCAAATGACTGCAATGAGTGAACTTTAACCTTTCAAGTAGCGATATTGGGAGGGAATGCACAAGCATGATCCCCGCCAATCCATTCCTGCCAGTTGTTGGCCATCAGTTTAACCACGTGATGGTCCCTTTTATTCTGTTTGGTTCGTTGAAGAGGTCGATGATTTAGTTTTGTTGTTGCTTTTCATGACAAGCAGAACCTGTCCCCAGGGTAGGGCCTGCTGTACTCTTCCCAAAACGTTCTTCATAGAAAACCAAGATGGTGGCGTCCGAGCTCTTCAATCAGGCCAAAAAATACGGGGCTATAAACAGTCTACTTAATGCACCTATCAATGTACAAGCCCGAGGGGAGGGGGTGGGAGGGGGTGGGTGCGGGCTACCCATGGGAATATGTTTGTGAGATATGTCCCCGAGGAGGGAATTTAATCATTTGCGATGTCTCCAGGATATGGAATATGAAACGGTTGCCATCTTGAAGGACCAAGAGAGTTCAGTAATGAGCCATCTGCCATCTTGTAAATATCCAGAAGTTACTGGGAGTTAGTGAGGTCTTTGTCCAGAACCAGATGGAGATCATGTCAGATAGAAGTCAAAGAAGATTAGATGATTCTTTTTTTAAGCATTCTTTCATACAGGTCAGGTATACTTTCACTCCATAAAGTTTGTGTTTATTGAAAGGAAAGAGCTTTGACCTCGTATATTTTTAGTGTCGATAATTTTTTGTATGGTTACATATTCCTGAGTTTTCTTTGCC